GAGTCAAAATTTTCTTTCCCCAGTAATGCAAGCTCTGAGACACCTAGTGGTGGAAATGTTTACTGCTCTCAGCAAGGGCTTCTCTCATTTCAGAAGAGTATCCATTTTAAAACGTAATTCTGGATTTCATTCTGCTACCGGCAGAGGGAGTTGAAGCATTCAACCTTTCGTATTTATCTTACTTTGCAAATGGTTAGAACTGTAAGAAAGTTGTCTTTCAACAAATTTGAAACAATGCTAAAGCTCATTTTATACACAAATCCAATCTCCACCTTGGCATATCGAAGGATTTGCAAACGTCTTTTGAACAAACAAAGGGCTGCTTTAGAATCGCACAGGTGAAGGTTACAGTTGCAATGTGAAATCAAGCAAAGCATGCAGTTTTGATTGGGTTTCGCTTTGGGTTGGAGATGTCATCAAATCTGAAACTGAATCTGAAACAGTAAGGAGCCGTTGAAACCTGCCTGGGATGAAATCCTGCAAACTAAAACCCTAAAAACGTCATATGACTCAGATAACAGCTAGCGAAACAAGTCTCCAGTATGGCTTAATTGAAGTCAGTAAGACTATATATTCAACATACACTTGGGGCCCATTGTCTGTATTACTCTATGGAAAGTTGTGTAATTCATCTAAATGTCCCAATTTAATGTTGCCTGTTTACTATTCTTGTGGGGCCCCCCAGTTATAACTTTTGAGCCCCAAATCCACATTTTCTACTAGCGTGATGACAAAGGTTTCCGAGTGCATCAATTTTCAGGCTATTAAAATCTGACAATACGATCAAACTATTACCTGAGTTTAGGGTTAAAGCACAAATTTACTTAATGTTCACATGTAATATAAAAGGTTTGTTAATTGTCTTTATCTCTTAACTGGGAAGTTTTCACTTGTGATACGTGGATTAGGCTACATCAAAGAACAGTACAGGTACTCTTCACTTAACGTCATCCTGGTTAATGTTTTGTTATTACGTTGCTGATCTGATCTATTAGGGAACGCTCATTTAAAGTTGTGCAATATTTATTATATAACGTTGGACCACCACCTGCTAATAGGTAACTACTGTGACGTATGGGGATCAGGTACCGTTTTGACAGAGACATCTTCAACCTGTGCAGGCTCTGAGTGAGCTCCAAAGTCCAGACAGCCACGCTTCGCGACTTCCTCTTCGCTGATGACTGTGCATTACGCGCAGACTCACAGGCTGACATGCAATGATCCATGGACCCACTCTTGTCAGCCTGTGACAACCTCGGAGTCACTATTAACACGAAGATGACTGAAGTGATGTTTCAACCTGCACCTGGAACAACACCCCAGGAACCACACATCTCAGTTAAAGGCCAACAAGTGTCAATGGTCGACAAGTTTGCCTGTCTAGGCAGCACGCTCTCCCGTGCTGTCCACATTGATGACTAACTCAATGCAGATTAGCGAAAGCTAGGATGGCCTTTGGCAGACTCCATACGTCACAGTCTGGGACCGCAGAGGCTTCAGAATGTCGACAAAACTGAAGGTTTACAAAGCCATCATCCTTCCGACCCTCCTTTATGCCTGCGAAACCTGGACCATTTACCAGTGTCATGCCGAGAAACTAAACCACTTCCACTTGTGCTGCCTGCGAAAGATACTAAAGATCAAGTGGCAGGACAAGATTCGGGACACCGAGGTGCTCAGAAGGTCAACTCTCCCCAGTATTCACACCCTGCTGAAACTGGCACAGCTAAGATGGGCCGGCCACTAGGCCTGTGTGAAGTGGCTAGTATTCGCTTCAGATTCAGATTCAGCTGATTCGGGGGACAGTGATTTGATTCGGTGATTCGAAACACTGTCCCAATTCGATTCGGCCAACTCTGATTCAGAGATTCGGCAGCAGCCGAATCTCTAAATCAGCCAGGCCCATCCCCTGCCTCTTTCCTAGCCCGGCAATGGCTGACCCAGCTCCCAGTACTTGTTAAAAAAAAATAAATCCCTGACTCACTGGGTGCCGCTGAGCAGGGGGTGATCCCCACCACCCCT